TTAGACTAAATGCATCTTGCATTATGATATAGCTAAAAGCCTGTGGGGGCCAGGCAATGGATGTGGTGGTTTGAAGAAGAATGGTCCCCATAGGCTCATATATTTGAATGCCAAGTCACCAGGGAGTGGCACTACTCGAGAAGGATTAGGAGTTGTGGCCTTGTTGGAGTAGGTGTAACCTTGTTGGACAAAGTGTGTTATTAGGAGTGGGCTTTGAGGTTTTAGAAATCCAAGCCAGAAAAAATTCAAGCCAGGCCCAGTGTCATTAATCCAGATTTAGAAATCTCAGCTACTTTTCCAATATCATGTCTGTCTACATCCTGCCATGCTTCCCACCATGATAATAGACTAAACTTTTGAAACTGTAAGCAAGCTCCAACTGAATGCTTTCTTTTGTAAGAGTTTCCATGGTCATGGTGTCTCTTCATAGCAACAGAACACTGACTAAGACAATAGTGGTGTCCTATCTCACCTGGTAGAACAAACATATGTCACTGTCCTAATCCATGTAACATATGCCCACATGTATGTATAAATTTTTCTATATAGCTAAACATGAATTCATATTCTCCAACTTAAATGTATTATTACATGAATCATTTGGCCCTCTAGGCTTGCTATCTGCAATTTAACAGAAAGAAATCAACCTTGATGCTGGGCGTTGGTGGCACACGCCTTTAATCCCAGCACTCGGGAGGCAGAGGCAGGCAGATCTCTGTGAGTTCGAGACCAGCCTGGTCTACAAGAGCTGGCTCCAGGACAGCCTCCAAAGCCACAGAGAAACCCTGTCTCAAAAAACAAAAACAAAAACAAAACAAAACAAAAGAAATCAACCTTGAGCTGGAGAGATGGTTCGGCAGTTAAGAGTACTGGCTGCCCTTCCGGGGGCCTGGGTTTTTTCCCAACACCCACATGGCAGCTCACAACTATCTAATTCCAGTTTTTCAGGCCAATGCCTTCTTCTAGCCTCTGTGGTGTTATACCTAGATTGTGAGGACCTCTCAAAGACCACCCACAAAGACTGAATCCATATACAAAAGCAAAGAGCCTTTATTCAAGCTCGAGCCTGAGCCCTCCATCTGTCCAATGCAACAGTGAGAGCAGAGAGCCCTGAGCCCAGTTGGGGTAGAGTATTCATCATAACAGAGGTTGGGACGAGGGGATTTCCAAGCTTTAGGACCCCTGATTGGCTGACATTTGTCTAGGGGTGTTTTGGCAAAAGGAGATAGGTGCGTGCTGGGCTCAGGGGCATCTGCTATCTGCAATGGTCAGAAATGTTTGGAATGTCAGGTACTTCTCCCTTAGGTTGGATTGTTAGATATTTTTTTCCTTGGATGCTGATTGGCCCATTCCTGGGTGGTGTCAGTTTGTGGTTTCTCCTGGAATGAGGTGCTACTTTATAGTAAACCAAAACTCAGGCCTACTCCCAGTCTGGTTTTTATTAAGCTTGTCATGGCAGCTGTGTGGCTAAGTGGGCACCAGGAATTCGTGTAATATAAAGACACATGTATAGCCAAAGCACACATGCATATAAAATAAAATATCTTAAGAATAACAACATTAAAAAAGCCAACCTTTTATTATCTGTTATTTGTTGTGCCCAAGTAGTGAAGATCCCCAGAGACCACCAGGGAGACAGACCCACCAATCTGTAAAAGCAATGTTTTATTGTTCATCCAACCATGACAGGGACCCTGTCTAGTAAGCTGATGCAGCAGCCTCCAGAGGGAGTGAAGTTCCCTGTCTACTGTTAGGTTTTAAAGACAAAAGTTACAGGATTACATCAGAAGGTATGGGTTGGTTTCTAATTGGTTGACATTTGGGAACAATCAGGAGAATTTCTCAAAGTCATATTTTGGCATGAAATACCACCTGTGTGCCAATTATTCTCATTGGTCAGTGCTGAGAGGGAACATTCTGTGGTTTCTACAGCTTTGTCTTGTTAGTTGCAGGTGGCCTGTTGTACATTGATACCAATAGTTTTCAGAACTGTATCCTGGAGACTACAGGGGAGGTTTTGGTCTCTCCTGGAGTTTCTTTTGTGGCCAAACAGTTCCTAGGAACCAAGTATCTAGGAGGTGGGGGTGGGGGGGCATCTTTAGTTTCTTTGTGTTCAGTTTTGGACCTAGGTTCTGGGAGGCCAGAGGATCTGGAGTTTCCTTGTGTCAGAGGCCTACGTGTCTTTTCTGTAGCCTGTCATGGCTGCTAAAACAAGGGCTTTGTGAGGCCTGGTCCCTTCATTATTCATTAACTTAATTTTAATATATTATTTAATATTTTAATATGCATTTATTATTGGGCTGTGATAACAAAATGCCTTGGCCTGATTAGCTTTTAATAAAAGAAGCAGATTTATTTTCTAACATTTCCAAGGTTCAACATCCAGATTTCATTTCTGGTGTTAGCTTTCCCCCTGACTTGTGGATTATGCATGGTAGTAGAATTTGATTTGAATAAGATTTGTTCTTTTGTGACTGACTTTCTTCACTTGGCACAAGATCTTCATTTACTGTCTTTTTGTTGCTGTTGTTGTTGTTGTTGTTGTTCCTTTTTAAGGATGAGATATAGTCCATTGCACTACATGGCACATTTTGTTTGTCCTTCAATGACAGTTGGCTCGTTTCTACTTTGGGGCTAGGTGAGCCATGCTGGTAATTCTGCTTTAAATTTTTTCAGAAACCTGCAGTGTTTCCCTCAGCACTTTCACCACCCTATATTACTACCAACAGTTCACAAAAGGCTCCAATTCTTCCATACCCTCACCGACATTTTGCGGGTTTTGTGGAGTCAATGATGTTTTGCTTTCTTGAATAGCCATCCCACAACAGGGAAAGCTCACTGTGCTGTTTGCTTCTTTGTTTTGTAGGCATGACCTCACTATACAGCTCCAGCTGACCTCCAACTCAGAGATCCACCAGCCCTTGCCTCCTGGGTGCCGGGACTGAAGGTGTGTGCGCCACATTCCTAGCATCAGTGTGGTCTTGATTTGCATTTCTATAACAGCTGGTGACACTGACCATCTTCATGTCCCTGTTGACCACTTACATGATCATCTTTGGGGAGAAAATGTCTTTTCAAGTCTTTGTTCATTTGTGATCGTGTTCTTTTGGAATTTCTGAGCTCCTTACATATTCTGAATGTTAATATCATACACCAGATGTGATTTAAAAATATTTTCTTTCATCTGTAGATTATCTTTTTTACCTTGTTTTTATTTTTATTGTTTATTTGGTTGATTGGGTTTTATTTTTTTGTTGTTTTGGGGGTCTTGTTGTTGGTTTGGAGGGGTTTTTTGTTGTTATTGTTGTTTTTTGTTTTGGTTTGGTTTAGTTTTTCAAGACGGGGTTTCTCTGTATAGCCTTGGCTGCCCTGGAACTCACTCTGTAGAACAGGCTGGCCTCAGACTCACAGAGATCCACCTGCCCCTGCATCCCGAGTGCTGGGAATAATGGTGTGTGCCACCATAACCCAGCTGGTCTTTTTACCTTGTTGATACTGTCCTTTGGTGCACAAAAGCTTTTAACTTCAGTGAAGGATGTTTTCCTTTCTATTGATAGCATCCATTTCTTTTATTTTCTTTTTTTAGTTAGTTCATTTTTTACACATGTGAGTACAGGTGACCGTGGAGGCTAGAAGACTGTACTTCGAGGAGAGAAAAGATTCAAGGTCAAATTCTGAAGACCTTCAGTAGAGCAGGGAAAAAAGTGGAAGTACTGGCATCAATGAAATGCTTCAGTGTATTAATTAATTCACCCTAGTTTATTAAATGCTGACAGATTTTGTTTTGTTTTTTTGTTTGTTTGTTTGTTTTTCAATTCTGGGACCACTAAGTTGGCCAGCAGGTAAAGTTTCTTGCTGCCAGGCCTGAATGGCCTGAGTTCAATCCCTGGAACCCAGGTGGAGGAAGGACAGAACTGACTCCCTCAAAATGCCCTGTGACCTTCTCATGTGTGCCATGGCAAAGTGCACCTCTTACCCACAACAAAAACACAAAATGAAATATTAAAAACTTAGGTTTCTGTATTTCAGGATATCTGTAGTCTTCATTCACATAGAATTCTGATAGTGCAAAAATGTTTTCAATGTGTTGGAACCTTTATTACGGCTTATATTAATTTATAGGCTTACTAAGTACTGTATTGCTGAATTATACCCCTATTCTGTGACATTTATAATTTATAAAATTCTTATGGAGAGGAAGCTAGATGGTTGAAAGAGACAAAAATAAATCTTGAAAGTATGTTGAATGTTTAAGAATAAACAATATCTTAACTAAAAGAGCAAATTTAACACATCATTAATACACGAATGTGGCTGCTCTTGGCCACTAAGTTCGAGTATTGGGCGAAAGCCTGGAGATTTGGATGAACCACAAGACTCCTGGTCCTTTTCTGAGAGAATGTCTCCCACCTTTATTGTGGAGCAGCCTTATATACAAACTTACAAAAACCCCAGGTCAAATGGTTCACAACAGGATATTGATCCCAGTGGGGTGAGGTCAGGAAAACAGGAGGTACCTGTGGTTATGCTGGAAAACAACTCTTAGAGACCTCATGAGGGCTGGGTTCCAACACATGAAAGTACTTCCAAATATCTTGGGCTATTTTTAGGGAACTCTTTCCTACTAGACTAGTCCTGCAGTCATCTTGGAGCCCCCAAATAAACACACAGACGCTATATTAATTATGAAACTCTTGGCCTATAACTAGCGCTTCTTATTGGCTAGCTCTGTGTTAATTATTAACCCATTTCTATTCATCTAAGTATTTCTACCTGGTCCTATCTTACTGGAGAATGCCTGACTTGTGTCTTCTCTTCCCAGAAATCACGTGATGACTGCTTTCTGCCTACATTTCCCAGAATCCTTCTCATGTCCTAGACCTGCCTATCTTGCTGCCCTATTGGCCACAGTATTTTATTCATCAAGAGAAACATATGTGCAGAAGACATCCCCATCAGGCTATGAAAATAATAAGAAAGAAACTTTATCTGCTTTATCTTTTTTTTTTCAGAATTCCAGAATACTAACCAAGTTGTTGAACACCCTGGGACAGCAACCTTCCATTCACACAACAGTGAAGAGAAGAGTCTATGTTCCAGGTGCCTTAAGTCCGAACGGGTATTTAATTTTTTTTAAAGATTTTATTTATTTATTATGTATATAACATTCTGCTTCCATGTATATCTGCACACCAGAAGAGGGCACCAGATCTCATAACAGATGGTTGTGAGCCACCATGTGGCTGCTGGGAATTGAACTCAGGACCTTTGGAACAGCAGTCAGTGCTCTTAACCTCTGAGCCACCTCTCCAGTTCCCCGGGTATTTAATTTTTAAATTCATCTTTAACTTAAAATCAGAAGCTTTTGAAAGAGATTTGAAAACATTAGTGGACTTTTATAAAATGTATCTGACATGTGATTTCCAAGGGAAGAATTCCTTTATGATACAGGGGGGAAAATTGTGTTAATTCCAACTGATGATCAACTCAGAAAATACCAGTCAGATTTTTGGATGATGATATCACTGTTTGTTTAAACCTAACCCTCAGTCTAAAAGCCTTTGTCCCTAAATGTTCCTTGCTCAGCCATGACAGTGGGCTACAGCAGTGTGATGGATGTAACGGTCACTACCTGCCCCAGTGCTCGTCAACACAGCCGTCCTCTAACACAGCCGTCCTCCTAGCCACAAATTCTAACCAGAAAGGCAACCTCTGTTAATTAAGGATGGTAGAGCATCACAAGGTATAAATAGGCTGTTTTAACCTCCTAAGCACCCAGGCTCAGGCAAGGTGCATGTGACTAAGGGATATAGTTACTGTCTTCAACAAGGGGACAGAGATGTCCTCACAGAGGTGAACCCAGGCTGCCTTGAGACACAATGCCTGACTCAGGCCTCTAGGAGAGGGAGTAGGTAGTGCTTTCCTGAAAGTTAAGTGACCAAATCAGGGAGTCTTCAGAGAGTGGGTGGAGTGTGATGTGTGTAAGAGCCTTTAAACTAGGACTTGAGAGAACAAATTCCAAGAGATGCGGAGAACTGCAAGGAATAGATAGAGTAAGAAGAGCCACTCAGATCTTCAAAGGAATAAGCCAGGACTCAAATCCTTCCTGCTTTTATAACTGGGAAGGTAGGAGAAACCATCCCTTTAAAACCAAGCTGAAGGCCTTTTCTGATGTTGCAGAAGGGTGGGAAGATTATGGTAACATGTTCCTTTCCTGTGTTTGTTTGTTTCTGCTTTGTTTTATTTTGTTTTTCAAAACAGGGTTTCTCTGTGTAGCCTTGGCTGTCCTGGAACTCACTCTGTAGACCAGGCAGAGTCCTCAAACTCACAGAGATCCACCTGCCACTGCCTCCCAAGTGCTGGGATTAAAGGTGTGCACCACCACTACCCAGCCCTTTCCTATGTTTAACAAGCTTTGTGGAACAATGACTTACATGCCATACAATCCACCATTTTAACCTGTGGTTCACACTGATTCAGAGAGTTGAGTCCATTCACACTTGTCCATCCAGCACCGCTACTGTACAAACACGGCACATGGTTTAAAGTCGATAAGCAGCTGCTGTGTATCATGCTTCTGGGAGCATCTGGGAGCATCTGGGAGCAGATTTTCAGTTGACAACGTGTTTTGTTTCTCCTCTATCTATCTATCTATCTATCTATCTATCTATCTATATCAGGAGCAAGACTTCTGAGTCACATGGTATCTTCCACATTTTTTTTTTTGAGGAATGGCTAAACTATGTGGTTCTAAAGTCAATGCCCTGTCCATATCTTCCTCAGTAGCACATAAAGCTTCCTGTTTCTCTACATCCATTGCATAACACCTGTTATTGTCTGCTTTCTATATTAACAGCCGCAGAAGGACTCGTTGACGCGGTTAGTAAGTGTGGTATAGTTAGCTCTGGAGGTAAGAAGGAAAGGCATTGCTAAGGGATGTGCCTTCACCTGCCACACCAGAAAGCAGGAAGTGACGTGCAAAACTCCATGTTAGGAAAGAGGGAGACGAGACTGTTTATTTGGAGTTAGAAAGACACCTGCAGAAGAAAGGACATCAAGTCAACATCATTTTTCTCTTCCAGAATGAAGGATAAAAAATGGAGCCAGGGCAGCCTATGTTGATAAAAGCTTAGAATTTTTTAAAATGCATAAACTATGCAAGATGAATCAGAGGAATGAGAGATCATTTTTCTTCTCCTTTTCATTTTTTCTCTCCTTAGAACCTGGGACATTAATTTGCCAATGTCCTCAGATGATTTGATGAAAGAGGTTAGAGGAAACAAAGTGGCTTTCCAAGATTGCTTCATTTCAAATCTCAAGTTCCTGCTGACATTTCCCAGGCCCACCATACCTGAGACCAGCGGAGATCTACCACTCACCCTGCCGGCTGGCAGGCCATTGCTGTCTACCTGGGGTTCCTGCAACCCTACATTTACTGTCCTGGTCACTGACTATGAAACCTTCCAATCAAATGATTCCTTCCGTACCTGGACCAGAATAAGAGTCCCCCCAGGTATCCTGAGTGATGCTGAAAGGCACAATGTGACTGATGTGGCCTTATTCAACAATGGAATTATGTTTCTAATAAATGGTGTTATTTACCTAAAAACCGAGAAAACATTTACAAAACTGGACTCAAGTAAAGGTCTTCCTACAACTGAAATTATTGGCATTACCAGAAGACGATGGTGTCAGATGAGATATTTATTTAAGGTTAGTGAAAGATGATATATGTGAGTATGTGCATTATCAACGTAAATTTAGATATATTACTATAATGTTTATTCAGTAATATATCAGGTGCTCTACTAAGCAGCTTTTTTGCATGGTTATTGTTTCCCCAAGACAAGTACTAACCCCACTTACCATCTAAGATCATACAAGATTCAGCATGTTCAAGCTCATATGGGTCTATAGACAGTTATTTAAAGAGGTAAACAGCTGTATTTCTCAGATTCAAGTTTTCTGAGGTCTCTTAATGTAAGACCCCCAGAAAGCTCAGGCCTCCGGGATCTCAGCCCAGGACCACAGCCACCCCAATCACCAGGCAGATTTGAAAGCTTGATGCAAACTGCATGAGGCTTTATTGTTGTTTAACGAGCTAACCCCATGTTAGCTCCAGTCTTTCATCCACCCTCCATGGCGGATGGCTAGGAAAGACAGCTCAAAGCGTCTGCATAGAGATCTTATAGGGGAGTGTCTAGGGGTAAGCACAGGCTCAGGATTGGTGTGCCTCCAGGCTTGGAGGGTTTGCCCTGTGTTGATTGGCCAACTGGTTGTTGTGGCCCATAGGCCCTCCCAGGGTGGTTGCTATGCTCTGCGCCTCATAGCTGTGCACTTGTCCGTAAAGCACATCCAGAGCCGTAAAGCATAGCACCACCAGCTAACTTCTGATTGATTCCTTGACACGAGGCAGGCATCTGACCTCTTAGTGACTAAGACAAGGTCAGACAAGCACGGCTGTTATGGCTGCCGAAATGGGGAGCTGGTCCCTTCATTAGCAGTAAAGATGCATACCCAGTGACAAAGAAAAAAGTCAGTCTTGTACTCTGTCATGTAGAGCAATGCAGTCATACTGTGGGGACAAAAGCTTCCCAGTATATGTTCCCCCAAGAGCCTGTGTGCTTTCAAAATTTAATCAAATTACCACAATATTTGAATAATGGATATCAAAGCATTCTTACTACAAAACATAAATTTTACACAAAAATGTAAATGTTCTTTTAACTACATTGTTGGGCTCCTAAAGAAATATGTTCTAGCAAAATCAAGTACTTGAGTTGAACATTAAAATGTATGAAATAGCCAAGCTGACCAGGAAGGGTAGATCTGAATGATGTGTGACTACAGTTCCAGTTGCCTTGAATCCTGGACAGCAGGGGTGGCTATTCTTGGTAGCAAAGATGGGACGGGACTTTCCTACAACATTCTCTACTGAGGTCCTGGATGCTCTGACACCCACCTCATAGACACTTGTAAAACATTTCATAAATCCACAACACAGAACCCAGCAAGTTGCTCCCCACCTTGGGGCAGCCCACTCTACTCTCTCTTTGGGTTGCTCTGTCTGGCTACACTGATGCTTTAGGAATGAGCCTCCACTTAAGCTGTGTCTTGACTCAATTCATTCTTTCAAGAAGACAAAAATCAAGGGGCATACCACCACTCCCATCCCCACCTCCTACCGCCCCCACCCCACCTCCCTGAAACATCCCCACAGTAAGAGAAATTCTGGGAGGAAAAAAAAGCTGTCCCAACAGACTGGCTCAGAGGAAGATGCAAATTGTTCCAACATGTTAACCTTTCCTCAGGGCTGACCTCCAACAGTCAGAGCTCAGATGCCAGGAGGCAAAGCCCTAGAACAGAGCAAAGAGGGGGAGTCTGGAACAAACATTTTGCATAAAATAATGACCTTCAAATTGACCCCTAACACATCTAAACTTATGTCAGCTTTCATAACAGAAAGAGAAAGGACTGGAGAGTTGGCTTAGCAGTAAAGAGAACCGATTGCTCTCCCAGAGGACCTGAGTTTGATTCTCAGCACCCACATGGCAGCTCAGAACCATCTGTGTCTCAGCCCCAAACCACAGAAGCCACGAGGTTTGGCCTGAGTGGGGGAGTGTGGACCTGGAAATTCCTAGCAACCCAATGGTCATAAACCAGACACAGGCATCTTGTCATCTTTAGAGAACATTCAGTTCCATGCTGCAAAACTGGAGTCTCTCCTTTATTTAGCATCTTCCTGGCTGCTTTCTAACCATGCTTCCCTAACCATGAGGCCATTTCTGTCTCATCTTCCTAGACCCAACAGCAGATCTCTCTACCATCTCTCCACCAGTTGACCTCTCTGCCTGAAACCTCCTCACCATCTGTCCTCACATAGACTTTTTTCTCCACTCTGGTGCAGGCCGATTCAAATGCTTAGTTTTGTAGAGATGCAAAACTAGGAGACATTCTCCACTGAGGCTATGCCATTCAACAGCAAATCAGCTAGCATCTACAATACAATGCAGACCGGATCTTGGACCCCAAGAAATCCTCTAATGGAATTTTACTAGGCTCCAAAACATCTGTAACTCCAGTCCCAAGGGTTCTAACACCCTCCTTCGACCTCCTTAGGCATTAGGCACGCACATGGGTGCAGACATCTGTGCAAAAACACTCATACATATGAAATGATAAACTAAATAAATAAATCTAAAAAGTAAATGTTCTAAACCCTAGGGTACTTTAAAAATGCTGGTTATGTTTAAGAATATACATGTATACACATATTTGCATGTAACAGCAATTAATAGAAAAGAGGTCACAGATGTGAAAGAGAGAAAGAAGGGGAGATGGGAGGATTTAGAGGAAGAAAAGGGAAGGGGAAAATGGTGCAATTATGTTATAATCTCAAAAATAAAAGAACTATTTTTTAAAGTGTTTCCCTCTGGATTTCCTAAATAGTCAACTCATGGTCACTTAGGAGTTTGAATTTACAGTATTTATGTGGGTTACTTACAAG